TGTATGGGGGGAAAATTTTTTGTTAAGGCGGTTTAGGGGTTTAATGATGGAATTTTTGGCCCATTTTGCCAGGGATGCCGGGGGTTAAGAAATGTTACCTTTCCGGGCTTTTCCAAATTTCCAACCCAAAGCCCTGCTTGAGTTTGGGTCTCAGCTTGGGCCGGGAAACTCGGGAATCCGCATTCATATTGACATGGCAGATCCCGAGACTTACTTGGGGGAGGGTGATCAGAGTCTAATCAAGGACTGTCTTAAGGAGAAGACTGGCGGTTCTTTGGAGTACATGGTGTTCCGAGGTACGTCTGTATATGCACGCAAAGGCAGAATGTCACTAATGATTGATGTCTAGACCCCAACATTTCTGATTTTGAAGGTGAATCTGACTGAGTGGTTCAACTCGGTCTGGAGCGTTGTCTGCTCGTGTTAGGCACAGGCGAGACCCAATAGCACATGTCAGGATTCTTTGGCACGAGCACATGGTAGGTATGACGAGACTTCAGGACTGATGTGCTTTAGCTTGATCGATCTTGGGCATTTGCACAATTCGACACGCTTTGTTGAGTGTCTGTGTTGTCTAGATGGGTAGGCATGGCGAGCTATGATCAATATTTTCTAGGAGGAAGTACCCATACTCTATGAAGAGATGAACAGTCGGAGTGGTTCCATTCTCAAGTTTGACGGGCTCAATGAAAGCTTATCATGTGCATTGCCACTGCATGTCTTGTCGTCTTGAGTTGCCTGTGGTGACGTGGGTCTCGCCTAGCCGACTAGGTTCCGTTCAGGTACTAGTTATCTCGGCTAGTTTGAGGATCACGTTACTTGTCTTGTGCTATGAAAATAGCCAGGATGTAGCAGTGGCAAATCACATGATACTCAAACTACCCGAGCGCATGAGTACACCATGATTACCTAGGTAGGTCGCGAATGGCGGGGTATGAAAATACCTGGCCTGGTACACCTGCCTCAGTGTGTCCTGACCCACTCGAACCTGCAGGAACTCAATAAGTCGTTTCATCACCAAACTTTTGAGATGAATACCAAGCGAGTCCTGGTGATCGCCGGCTCAGACAGCTCTGGTGGGGCGTAGGCATGAACTTATTCGCCTCTCACAAGCCGGCCAACTGACAGACAAAACTATAGGGGACTAGAAGCAGACCAAAAAGTTATCGCTGCACATGGATGTTATGCTATGACAGCCACCACGGCCCTGACTGCGCAAAACACGCTTGGTGTACAAGACGTTCATCGCACGCCACCGGCATTCGTAAGGAAGCAGATCAATGCTGTGTTCGACGATGTAGCCGTCGATGTTGTCAAGACTGGTAGAACTGCTTTCGATTGATGGTGATATCTTTGCTGATAAAAAGTCAGGCATGCTTGCATCTGCAGACACGATTGAAGTCGTCGCAGATGCATTGCGCAGATACAATGTCAGCACGAGCGTCGTCGATCCCGTATGTTCTTGCAGTTGCTGAACTCGCCCACAAGCACCTCACGTGATATGTACAATGCTGAACCCATACCTAGGTGATGGTATCGACTTCAGGGTCTCAGTTACTCCCTGAAGACGCCGTTTCTACACTCATTGACAAGCTCTTACCATTGACTACGATCCTGACACCCAATCTACCCGAAGCATTACTGTTGCTCAAGATAGCTGGCATACCCGTCAAGGATCCCGAGACTGTGGACGACATTGTTGCCATTGCCAAGAATATCCACGCACTTGGACCGAAATGGGTGTTGTTGAAAGGAGGGCACTTACCGCTTACGAAGGGAAGGTTAGTGAGCAAAGGCAAGGAAGATCGTGAGGTCATCTTGAATGTACTTGCCGGTGAGTCTGGAGTAAGTCTGATGGAGAGCGAATATATCGACAGCCAAAACACGCATGGTACAGGGTGCTCGCTCGCGTCGGCAATTGCGTGCAACCTCGCTGCAGGAGTGACTATGGTCAAGGCAGTCAAAAAAGCAAATCTGTACATTGAAACGGGCATCAAGACCAGTACTAGTCTTGGACGAGGGAATGGTCCGATCAACCACTTTCATTCCATGTTCATATTACCTTTCACGCCAGGTTCTTTCATATCGTACCTCCTCGATCGCGAGGACGTCCAGGCTCCGTGGAAGCAATATACCGAACATGCCTTTGTGCAGCAAATGGGCGACGGAACGCTACCACTGGAGAAGTTCATGTACTATCTTGTCCAGGATTATTTGTTTTTGGTACGTCAATTCAGTCTTGACGCTCACGATAAGTACCCAGCTGATGTGCGAAAGGTACAATTTGCGCGAGCTACGGCGCTGGGGGCATACAAGTCGAGTTCGCTAGCCGATATTGGACAGTCGGTACAGCAAGTAGTCACTCTCCGAGAGGAGATTAAGCTACACATTGAGTTTTGCAGAGAATATGGCTTATCAGAAGAGGACATCATTCACCAAGAAGAAGACCAAGCTACTACAGCCTACACCCGCTACGTACTCGACATTGGCCAATCGCAAGACTGGCTCGCATTACAGATTGCACAGCTACCGTGTCTTGTCGGCTATGGAGTGATTGCAAAGCGCTTACATGAAGACCCGAGCACGGCCAGGGTTGGGAGCAGATACTGGAAGTGGATCGAGCAGTATGTTGCTATAGAATACCGCGAGGCAATGATGCGCGGCTCCGATTTGATCGAGAAGCATGCAGCCAAGCTGTCGCCCTCGAGAGTGGAAGAGCTCGCGCAAATATTTATACATGCGACTAATGTGAGTCTTGGACTGGCATGGTGTGTCCATGCGGGAAGCTAACCTGCGACAGATGGAAAGGGGTTTCTGGGACATGGGATTGCGCGCAGGCGGAGAGGTGCAGTAGGTAGAGGCACCACCAAACTTCATTCAGAGGTTTGTGGAGTAATTCCCAAAAGCAAAGTGTAGTTTCGGCCCTTTTCTTCTGTACCAGAAGGAAGCCGTTTTGCCACCGAGTGCCCAATCTGACAAGTGTTTTGCTGGAGCGGAGGAATTGCATGCTGGGCTGTCACGTGTCGATAGGTTGATAGGTCCCAGGCCTCCTGCCTGAATTCGGCGAGAGACCCTGCCGTTAGCGCCTGTTAGCGTACAAAATCTGGTGCAAGCGCAATCAGGGACAAGGCAAAACAGCGTTTTTTTCTTCTTCTCTGTCGCTCCATCTTTCTCTCACCTCACTTACCTTTCAAACTAGTTGTGCATCCCCCCCCAATCGCACAACCACACGCGCGACACTCTCTTCAGTCGCCTTTCCGCATCTTACTATTTTCTCCGCGGACTTTCACATCTCGAAACACGCTCTCTTTCGGCCGGCAGGGTTTCCTTTGACAGCGGTCTCTACAGCAGTCTCTACATCAACAACATGTCCTACGGCGGAGGATACGGCGGCGGTCGCGATGGCGGCCGTGGCTACTCGAACGGGTACGCAAACAGCAGTGCTGGATACGGGTCTTACGATAGCCACGACTACACGAGCCAACAAACATCGTATGGGTAGGACGATATCCCTCCACGCACGGCGGGACAGGCATCAGTGTCGTGGTTCTTGGCAGCCCCTTCCATCTGCGCTCTCTTTTCTCACGATATTCTACGCGCAGATTGAGTTCGGCGGCCACGTTTGCTTCACTTGCTGCTGTAGGTCAAGCAGGCGGGTATGGCCACGATCCGCTGCGGTAGCGTAGACTCCCCTTCCTTCACTCACGTGCATCCTACATCTGAACTACTACTAACTTAAAAACAGCGGCGGCGGCGGTTATGGAGGCGGCGGCGGTGGCTACGGAGGAGGTGGCTACAGCGGCGGCGGCGGTGGTGGTTACGGCGGCGGAGGCTATGGAGGCGGTGGCTTCGGCGGTCGTGATGGCGGTGACAGAATGTCCCAGCTCGGCCAGGGCCTGAAGCAGCAAGAATGGGGTACGTCCGATCTCTGTCTAAGGATGACTTCTACTTTCGCTAACAAATCGCTAGATCTAGACACAATGCCCAAGTTCGAGAAGTCCTTCTACAAGGAGGATCCCGCCGTCACTGCTCGCTCGGACGCCGAGGTTGAGGCGTACCGCAAGGAGCACCAGATGACTGTTCAGGGCAAGAACATCCCCAAGCCTGTCACAACCTTCGACGAGGCTGGTTTCCCTAGCTATGTCATGAATGAGGTCAAGGCACAAGGCTTTGCGAAGCCCACGGCTATTCAGGCCCAGGGGTGGCCCATGGCTCTCTCTGGTCGCGACGTTGTCGGTGTTGCCGAGACTGGTTCCGGAAAGACGCTGACGTACTGTCTGCCTGCTATCGTCCACATCAACGCCCAGCCTCTCCTCGCACCCGGCGATGGTCCCATCGTCCTTATCCTCGCCCCCACCCGTGAGCTTGCAGTCCAGATTCAACAGGAGATTAGCAAATTCGGAAAATCATCCCGTATTAGAAACACGTGCGTCTACGGTGGTGTTCCCAAGGGTCCCCAGATCCGTGACCTCGCACGTGGAGTCGAGGTCTGCATCGCCACACCCGGACGACTGATCGATATGCTTGAAGCCGGCAAGACCAACCTGCGCCGTGTCACTTATCTTGTTCTCGACGAGGCCGATCGTATGCTGGATATGGGTTTCGAGCCCCAGATTCGTAAGATCATTGGCCAGATTCGCCCAGATCGTCAGACTTGCATGTGGTCTGCCACATGGCCCAAGGAAGTTCGCCAGCTGGCTTCTGACTATCAAAACGATTGGATTCAAGTCAACCTCGGTTCCATGGATCTTTCTGCCCACCACCGCATTCAGCAGATTGTCGAAGTCGTTTCTGAGTTTGAGAAGCCTGATCCGATGGGCCAAGCATCTTGAGACCATCATGAGCGACAAGGAGAACAAGATCTTGATTTTCACAGGTACCAAGCGTGTTGCTGATGAGATCACCCGATTCCTTCGGCAAGACGGCTGGCCCGCGTTGTGTAAGTTTATTGTTGTATTAGTGATTGAGGAGCAATGCTAACAAATAACAGCTATTCACGGTGACAAGCAACAAAACGAGCGCGATTGGGTCTTGAACGAGTTCAAGACCGGCAAGAGTCCCATCATGGTTGCTACCGATGTAGCATCCCGTGGTATCGGTATGATTACAAACCCCCCTCGCCCTCCCCCCCTCCTCTTCCCCCTCCCCAATATTTACTATGCGTGAACTGCCATTGTGCTCTGCTTAGGTCGTCTTGTGCGCTGGTTACACTCGCTTCCATGACATCGTCCAGGGCTTGCATACTCTTGAATCTGATCCCCTGAGATCCTTGGTTACGCTGGTGAAGCTTCTAGACTTCGCTACTATCTGTTTCGGGTATTACCACGGTATTACTGAAGCAAGCTGAGATACTACTTGACTTGCCCAAGTCGCAGTTTCTTCCAAGGGTTTCCGGTCCAGGAGATATCCACAGCCTCCCCACTGGAATTTGATGCCGTGACATTCGTTGTAGCGCACAGAGACGGTTGCATGCAACATACTGCAGATCACGCGACTCAATTTTTGGTCGTCGTTTGCTCGTTCCTTTTATCAGTCACTAACCTTGCTTTCAAAGATGTCCGCAACATTACCCATGTGTTCAACTATGACTACCCGAACAACTCGGAGGACTATGTTCACCGCATTGGTCGTACTGGTCGTGCTGGCGCTAACGGAACTGCGATCACATTGTTCACTACAGAGAGTATGTACCATGAATTCTTTCCGCTTTGCCATTACTAACAATTGCAACAGACTCCAAACAGGCTCGCGATCTCGTCCAGATCCTTACTGAGTCGAAGCAGCAGATCGATCCCCGTCTCCACGAGATGGCCCGCTACGGCGGCGGCGGTGGTGGTGGCCGCTGGGGAGGTGGCCGTGGCCGTGGCGGAGGCCGTGGTGGAGGTCGTGGTGGTGAGTTCATCCTCTGACGTCTTTAACCAAACCTTATCTAACAACCAATATAGGATGGAGTGGAGGTAACGCCGCTCCCATGGGCAACAGCCGCTGGTAAACAGTGAACATCCGCTTATCACTTTCAAGGTCGATGAGCATTTCCTCACTAATTGCGGCGTTGGGGTAGACAATTTTTTTCCTCTGGAATCACCTTGCATTCCGCTTCTTTGACCGCCAATCCATGTCCATGACATGACATCGCAGTCAGCCAATGTACAATGATAACCTCCCCCAAAGCTGGGGGCCCGGTCGCTATGACCCGACGTTGATGAGGTAGCAAGGCACGTCTGCACGTTAGACTGGCTGGTTTTTTGTGGGTTCTTAGTCATGGTGCAACCGATTTTTCTATTTTGTTTCTCGACATGGCTGCTGAGCAGTAGTTTGTCTCTATGCGAATGCTGATGTCGCGCCCAATTTGCATGATGGAACGGGTGGCGTTTCAAGTTTAGAAAAGTATCTGTCAATAATAGTTATTTAGAGTACGCTTTTACAACATCTTATGTTGCTCTCTCTCTCTCTCTCTCTGTGTGTGTGTGTGGAGAGACGAACAGTGAACATGCCATGCTCTTATTGACTGATCATTGAAGGGAGTGTGGGCACATGATCCGAGCCGACCATGGGGATCATTATACTAAACAAAGTAGTCCTGAGCTATAACATGGTGTTTTACGGTTCCGCAAGACAAGTATCCCATAATCTACAGCATAACGCCAATCCATGCTTTCATACCTTCCAATCCCATATCTCTCTCATCTCACTATTCCACAAACAAACAAAACAACCTTTTCAACCACATACACACCCACGCCTCCCCACCTCGTACCCCCCTCCCCAGCGCCATTCACTTCCTCGCGATACTAAACCCCCTCGTCATATAATCCGCACTATTCGCCACACTGGGCCGATCCTCGGACTTGTTGAACAGGCTGTTGAGATGGGTGTTCTGGGCAAGTTTGCGGCGCTTATTGAGGCGATCTTGTTCGGCGAGGACTTTGCGGGTGAGGGAGGCGGTGGAGGGGTTTTGGAGGGATGTTGATGTGGGTGTGGGTGTGGGTGTGGGTTGGCTTGGTTTGGCTGTGGTGGATGTGGTTGTGGGAGTGGCTGTGTGATCAGAGGGGATAGGGTTGGTGGTTGAAAGGTCTGGTTTTGCGTCCAAGTCTGATGTGTCCTTCTTGCGCTTCTTGCTGCCTGGGGCTTTCTTCAGGGCGTGGGTGAGGCCTTTTTCGCGGAGCGATTTGGCGCGCTGGTTGAGGCGGGCGATGTCGGTTGGGAGGGAGGGGATGATGGGGATGATGTCGGTTTCGGCGTAGGGTTGGTTGCACTGTTTGGTTGTTAGTTGTGTGCGGCTTATGCTGGGTTATGCTGGGGCGATTGTTCTCATCTGGGTAGAGTGCAACGCGGTCAAGAAGATGGAAAGGCGGGGAAAGACGTACAGTTAAACACGCATTCTCCTTGACTTCCTTGACCACACTCCCTGCAAACGCATGCCCACAGGGCACAATATACACCGCCTTTGCGCTCGGCCCCAACACCGTCCCCGTAACAGGACAAACCCACCTCTCGCCCCTCGTCTTCTCCCCAGCCCCAGCCTCGGGCTCCGCAACCTCAAACTTGACCTCGACCACATCCTTCAAACTCCTCACACGATCTCCAAACGTGCCCAGCTCTACAAACCCGCCCTCCACACTGGCCTTGACCCCGCCCACCCTCTTCATCTCGCTCTTCGCCGCATCCCCGTCGTCCTTGAGCAAGAACTCGATGATCGAGTCTTTGTTGTACAGGATGCCTGCTGCGTCGGATACGATGGGGTTGGCGAGCGGCTTGCGGGTAAGCGGGTCGGTTGACCAGGAGTATTCTTGCTGTTCGACGAGCGCTTCTTTGAGTTGGGCGGTGGTGAGGGATTTGGCGGCCTCTTTGACGAGTTCTCGCCGCTTGGGGATAGAGCCGCCGTCGTTGCCCATGGTTGCGCGGTTTACAGGGGAGTTTGTATGGGCTTTTGATGCTGGTGGTGTGGTACGTCGGAAGTGTGGCTAAAATGGACTGGAGTGGAGTGGAGGTGGTGGGAGTTGCGAAACGGTGTTGCGGAGTAGACGCGGAGGTTTGAGTAGAATTGGGAAGGTGCACGGGCTTTCCAATGGCGATATCAAGACCATAGAAAAAGTAGCGTCATGTATAGTCGCATTACGAAACGTTTCAACTCTTTGATTATTCAAGGATTTTGCCATGTTGGGCTGTCTAACAAGATTCATTACCAAAACGTCATATCTCATGATTGGCATTACTGTCACGTACTTTTACCCCTCCTTCATACACATATATTGTACAACAATCCATACAGTCCTACAAACACACAATCATCTCGAATCCTCTATTGTACCTCCTCCTGCTTCACCCGCCAACGAGCAGGTTTATTGGGCCGCCAAAAACTCTGCGGCCCAGGCTGCTCCAAGTCCTTACGATCAGAGCCCCCAGTCTTCTTCTCTCCATCATCATCCGCACCATCTGCCAGGTTCGAATGCTCACTCGTATCCTCGGGTCCCAGTTCCCGATCAAGCGCGGCTTTCGATGTCGGGGATGGATGGCTCCCATCCTTGTACATGACTCTCCTGATGAAGGCTGAAAGTCTTGCTTTCTCCGCTTTAAAAGGCGCCTTCTGACCCTCCTCGATCAGATTGGAGGAGAGTAATCGATCGTACACACCATGGACCTTGCGCAGTGCGGTAATCGCATCTTGTCGTTCCATGCCCGTGAGGTATACTGCACCTACCCCTTCCTTACCAAGCATTTGACCGCCCACACTGAGTTGTAGGCGAATGTTCTGTACAATGGGGTGGAGAATCGTAAGTGCATCCACGAGATCTGATGCTTTGGCGAGCGGGAACGTCACAGCTAATTCGGCAAACATGCTAGTAGTCTTGACATCCACGTCTTCCTGAAGCTCCAACATCATGTTCAGAATCTGAGTAGCATGACTCATCGAGTTGTGGTTGTTTTTATCACGGACACAGGAGCTCATTGCAATTCGGTAGGTAGCTGGTCGAGGTTTTATGCCTTGAGCGATCATCTGCTCTTTGAGCAGCTGGACTGCTTGGGCCGATGCTCGTGCCTGACGTATATTGCGCAGGCGCATGTGAAAACTGACGAGGTCAGGTACCACATGGTAAGTGCCAGGGTCGGTCAGTGTGTCCCAATATTCTTGAGAGGCCTTGCTTGCCACAGTCTTCAGACATGCCTCTTGAACAAGGGTAAGGGTTTGATTGCCTGGTCGGACGTATGACAAGGAATTCGGTACTATTCCACTCAAACCTTCCGGCTGGATTGCGAGAAACTCGTCACCTCGCATCCCCTTGCTATCGGGCGAAAGATGATCATCATCAAACCGGAGCTCGCTAGGCACATTGGGTGCTCGAAGGCGTGGGATTCCTGCAAATTTTCGTTCTTCCGTTCCCAGTCGCGGCACGAAACGTGGAATATCCATGGTCTGTTCAACGAGCGACAGAACGTCATCCCAGTCTCGTGGTCGGCTACCAGCAAGCAGCAGACGGCCCATGGCACAAACGAGCTGCTCATCAATGATCAACTCGGCGCGTCTCCATCGACTTACGATGCCCTCCCACAGCCGGCGCGCCTCGACAATCCCACGGTCTTTCCTGGTCGCGGCTTGCTCTGCTGTCTCGCCTTTGGGTCCATTGAGCAACAGACTCTGCCTGAGAGCGTTGATGATGGTGTCATATGTCTTTGCGTTTGCCGCCGCAGGACCATTTTCAGGTATTTTGCCTGCAATGCCCCACAGCGCATCCATATCAAGCGCTCTTGCGCATACTCGTAGGGCAGCATTTGTGTGTATAATTGAAGGCTGGACTCGTGAATTGGGCGCGAAGAGCGAGTGGTATATGGAAAGGGCATTGCTGAGAGCACCAGACAAGTGTGCATTTTCGGAGAGTCCTCGCAGAAGGATGGTGTAAGTGTAGGCATCTGGAAATTGTGCACGCTTCTTCATCTGCAAGAGCGTCAGCATTCATGTCTGCGCGAAGACTTGACGAAGTATACGTACGTCATTATACACCTTGATCGCGTCTTTGATCCTCTCTTTGCTGAGGTAATAGTCGATAATGTGATTCCAGCTCACAATGCACTCCATGGAATGGCTCGCCATGATGACCAGCTGCAACATCTCCTCGACTCGATCTTTGCGCAGTTCCTTGGAAACAAATGTGGCCAACTCCAGAGGGTCCTGCAGATATCGCAGTTCCCTCTTCCTCCGATTCCAGTCTTTCTCTGGTATGCGCGGATCGCGGGGACCCAGCCTCGCAAGGTTGGGCGTCTCGTCTCGTGTAAGTCGCTGGGTCGACTTCCTGAGTGCGGCATGCTCCCTTCTCGCTATGTTGGCAGCAACGTTTGATCCCTTCCATCGGTCCTCTTTGGGCCGTGGTCCATCATCTTCGGCGTCGTCTACATGGTTGCGGCCGCCTTGGCCTGTAGAGAGAAGTCTGAGTCCATTGTGGGCTACGGTTGGCCTGCCAGCTTGACCGCGAGGGCGGGGAAGAACACGGGCATTCAGCACGTCGAGAGCCTGTACATATCGCCGGGAACAGGCGCGGCAGCTCAGCATCAGGGAAAGTGTTCAATTTTTTTGGTACTGGCTGGCAAAAAGCAGTCGCTACTTTGTGTTGGCTAGAAAGTTTCCCAGGGCTCGGGCGGGAGTTGCCATCGGGCCGAGTCCGAGCATCACGTGACCAAGCGAACCTCACTTCACTCCATGGCCAAAACGTGAGCCATCATCATCGCCGCGCCCTCGTGGCATAAATGGAGCCCAGATCCTGTGCAGGGTAGTGAGATCGGGGAGTACAGGCGACACTCGACCGGCGAGGGCAGACAGCTCTCTTGTTACCCGTCCCGAGTGGGCCGTCCCGTGTA